GCCAGTGTTTCTAACAACCAAGAGTTCTCGCGCATGCGCACAACGGTTTTACTCTCTCTCCAACCAAGCTAGCAGTGGAGGGAGAGCTCCCCCTACCTTTACCTTTAACCCAAGCTCCCCTCGCTCTAACACCTTAAATATAATCTTATATCTTAGAGGGGTATGCTCGACGTTGGTCGAGCGGGCTACGTCTTTTGCCCTCGTATAGAATCTGACCAATATGCCATCGATCCTTCATCAATGCATTTTTTTTTTTTTATCATTCATTCAAGCGTCATTTTTTACAATAGTCATTTTATTTATTAAATACTTTTTCGAAAAGCATCACATTTTTTGTTAAAAAATAATCTTTAGATCCCTTTAAATTCAATTTATAATTTAAATAATGTAATGTTAAACACGAAATATTTTTTGGTATGTATATAATAATATTTTTGACTCGTTTATAAACATTCTCTTCAAGTAAAAAAACTTTTTTATCATGTATTTACAAGCTTGTGCAGCAAATAATATTTTTTCCATACCACCTTGCCGTAAGAATCTTGGTGTGTTGTTTTTAAAGAAAAAATTCAAATTCCGCAACAATCTTTAGTTTAAAAGAAAACTAGATAATGTGACATAGAATTTAGACGCGGGAAAAAGACGTAGCCCGCTCGACCAACGACGAGTATATCCCTCCAAGACATAAGATTATATTTAAGGTGTTAGAGTGAGGGGAGCTTGGGTTAAAGGTAAAGGTAGGGAGAGCTCTCCCTCCACTGCTAGCTTAGTTGGAGAGAGAGTAAAACCGTTGTGCGCATGCGCGAGAACGCTAGGTTGTTAGAAACACTGCAATACACACAAGCGTTTAGCAAGCAAAAAGGGTATACTCATCTGCGGCTGACGCATGCGTGTGTAAGTATGTGTGCATGGGGTTTTTTTTATTTTAGTTTTTATTTATTTATGTGTTTATTTATTTAGGGGTTCTAAGAAATGTATGAGTGTCGTAAGCGGTTGCTGTGTACTATTTCGGGGTCTGTTTCGTTGATCTTAATTTTTACGGTTCAGTTTTCCCATGTGTCGAACACTAAGTAAGGTCCTGAATACTGATCGTTAAATTTAAGACCTTTGGGGTCCTGTAGGAGCCATACATTGTCTCCTATTTTAATTAATTTAGAATTTGATTTTTCATCTTATATTTTTTTTGCTCTGTTTTTAGCCACAATTAATTTTTCTTGAAAGATCTCATGTAGGGTGTTAAGTTGAGTAACTTGATCTGTCATGTATAGTGAGTATGTGGGTAATAAATCATCTGCTTCGCGGGATTCGCTACTAGGTATCGTGCATTTTATCCAGAAACTAATTCGAAAGGTGTGTGCTGTGTGCTTTAGTTTTTATTAGTATTGAAATTAAATGTTGCCAATTCTACCCATTTATCCCCCTGTTGTTCTCATGTAATAAATATTTTAAGGTATTCAGTAAGGGTGTGAAGTGATCTTTCAAGGAAACTGGTTGATTGAGGGTGGAACGCTGCTTTTTTAAATTGCTTGATTTTGAATCGAATAGCTGCCCTCTTAATTAATTTACTTAGAAAGTTAGTGCCTTGATCTGTTAGTATGGCTGCTGGAGCTTCGTAAACACAAATGAATTTCTTAACAAAAGCGTCTGCTATTATCATAGCAGTTTGATCTTTTAATGGCACTGCTATAGCGTTTTTTGAGAATAACTACTGCATTGTTGAAACATACTCATTATTTTGCTGAGTTGCTGGTAACGGACCTACTATGTCTAGAGCGAGTTTAGTGAAAGGTTTGGTAGGTGTTTGGTGATAATTAATTTTTGTATAGTTTTTACACGTACTAAATTCTTTAGTTGACATTCGAAGCATTTTTGTATGTACGATTGGATGTCTTCTTTCTGATGTTTCCAAAAATATTTGTGTTATAGTTTGTTGTAAGTTTTGTTTACACCTTTGTGCCCTTCTATGGTGGAGTTATGCATTTCCTTCATAATGTTAGACCTTTCTTGTGATGGTGGGTGTTGGATTATTCTCAGACAAATTATTATTTTTGTTTGTGTAATGTGTTTTTGTAACATCTGTAATATCTTTTGGAACTTGATATTTTCTAATTTGGCAGTTCTAGCGATGGTCATTGTCGATATATTTTTATCTATTAATATTTTGTTTGAGTAAATGAGTGACTCATTTAGAACTGTTGTTGTGTTTATTATGCTTTCTTCGTCTTGACCTCTTAACTATGTAAAAATTGGTGTAGTGTTCCATTAATTCAGGTGTGCCGATCGTTAACTTTTCCAAACGGGGTAATTTGTTTATTATACGGGTATTTTGGGCCCGGTCATCTAATGGTTGGCCGAGGTTGTCGGTGAAGTAAACATAACTGTCTTTTCTCATATAGATCTTTTCTCTTGAAAAAATTGTTTTATTTTTTGTGTGATTAGGGTTGGTCGGCTGTTATTATCATTATTATTAATATTATTATTATGATTTTTATTAGTGTTATTATTATTATTCTACGTATTATTACCTTCGTGTTCTCCTAGAATAGATGCTTCGTATAAGGGTAGGGTATGGAAAAAATTTTCTTCGCTGTTNGAAGAAGGAGACAGAGTCTCTTGAGTACTGCTGAGTCAGGCAGTTATGTTTTGCCTTTTGTAATGAATAAAAACTAAAATGTACAGTTCACGCGTTGAGCATCATTTCTCGCTCCCGTGCTCCGTGTCCTTGTCCTGTCGTTGAGGCGCCTTGTTATTTAGCCGAGCCTCACCCTCGCGATCCCCAAACATATACATTTTTTTGTCGTACACCGCGATTTGCAAGAACATTTTCTTATTTTTTGCCCAGTTCCATTACTTTGTTCAGTTGCTATAGCTCGCACCGAAGATTCAGTCTTGGGAACTTCGTCAATATGAATCAAATTTTCTTCACAAATACTAAATTGCGATCGTGCATAGAATTGTTTGATTTTACCATTACGCGTACCTAACTTGTAAAACCCGTCGTCAGTAGCTAATTAGCTTTTCCAAAACTACAGCTAATAAATTACGCACGTAAAACAACAAATTTCGTCATGTGGTCTTGATAGATGAAAATAAACTAATATTCACCGTCAGGCTGAGACTGAAAATCAATCAAGTCTATCTGGCATCTGGAGTTAAAATGGTGTGAAATTATTGGTTTCACCACAATTCCCTTCTTGATTCCCTTTTTCTTCTGTTGACATGGTTCACACAAATTCAAAAATAATTGAATTTGATTACGTGTTATGTTCTTATACTTTTTATTTATTTCATAGATCATTCGATTACGTCCGCCGTGTCCGATTGACGAATGACTATCATACAGTACGTCAAATAAATCTTCCATGGCACAATAATACTTAATATCAGCATTTGCTTCACTAATTGGCAAAATTAACTTTTTGCGTCCTTCAACGTTTAGCACATCGTAGTGTTGCAGCAACCAATAATGTCGTGAAGATTTACCAGTCTCTTTGAACTTTTCTTCTTTAACTTCTTTTATTAGATCTAAGATTTTCACATTACTTAGTATAACCGAATTCGATTTGCTATTTACTGATTTAAGTTTATTCTCAAAACGCTGCCTCATGGTTTCTTTCGCTTCCTGAGCCATTTTTAAGCCAGTCCTCAAACTACGACCGTGTACGTCAAAAGTAAACAGCAAACTGAGAAGTAATTCGCTAATCAACGAGTATTTGTTGATAATTTCATACTTTGCTGGGTATCTCTTAGGCATTGTATAGAATGTCTAGGCAAAGTGTGAAATATAGAGTTATTCTATACTTTGCTTAACTCTGTTAGGCATTCTGTAGAATGCCTGATTATACACTTTGCCGGTAACATATATATACATTTTATTCTGTTTTCTGTAAAAAAAAAAGGAGGACATACATATCATTCATCTAGATCTTTTAACTTGGGTGGATCGATGATAGTTGCACTTAGCTTGGTGGGTCCTCTGCAGCTCCAACAGTATTGTTGGTTCGCCAGTTCCCTTACGTGGTCTTCTTTGGTGCATTCAAAGATGCACCTAGTTTGAATATCTTAAAACCTATAGTTAATGTGGTGCTGGTAGCACTGCTTACACGATCGCCAGACTGGCAATACGGTTCCACAATCTTAGCAATTGCCAAAATTAGGTGAGTTGGCTTGGCTGGCCTTTCATCCAAGATTCGTTGTTTTGAGGAATCTACCGTAGGTTATTCCATGATTATCGGTGACCGCTTGTTGTCGGCAAATGAGCTCGTAGGCATCATTCCTTGGGTGTCCAGATAGTGGTAATATCTCGCGATGCACAAACATGAAGTTTACTCCATGCCGCATGGCTTCGACTAACATGATTTCTCGGGTGGTTTCCTTGACGATATCGCGGAAGAACTCTTTCTCTCACAGGATCTCATTTACGATAAGATGAATTTTGTTCTTGAAGTTTTCCTGCGGCAGATTTTGTTCTTCGCGATGAAGGGGGGCCAAACCGTATTTAAGTACCCACAAGAACTCTTCACCCTGATGTTTTCCCTTTCTCAGTTTTTTTGAATTGTTGCGTTTTGTTCTAGATGCGCGAACTTTCTCACGCTGATTGAGGTTGGTGTCCTTAGTCCTTGATTCCACCATGCGGGTAACTATCCAATAGGCTAGCACCCCCAGGCTGATGAAAAGCATGACTTCTGGAGTCACAGTGAATTCTTCGTGTTCAGTTGGTGCCATTTTCACTGCTTTCTTTCCTTGGAGGTAGTTAGAACGAAAATATTAGTGCGAGAAGCTCGAGAATAAAGTAGAAAAAAAATTCACTGTGCTTAAGCTTATATACTGTTTCTAACGCCCTTCTTTAAGTGAGGTACGGAAAAATCGGGTGTGACTATCTATGCTTTCTTTACTTCGATTGGATCTAAGAGACGGAAAAGAGTCTCGAGTACGAAAAATTCGGGACCAATCGCTAGGTCACTGTAAAAAAAGGTCTGACGATGTATGCTTTTTACTGCTTTCATTTTCTCAGGTTGTTTCGAGTTATTACAGCTGCACAAGTGGGCGTCCTAACGGGATAAATTAATGTTATCGTTATAAGGTCATTAAATTATCCTTGCGAACACTTGAATAGTATACAGCCTTTCTCGTGCCTGCTTCTATGACTGTGACTCGTTTCCCATCACTATTTATGGATCCTATGCTCTGAGCAACTCTTATAGGAGGAAAGTTCGGGACGTCGTTAATTTGCTCCGAGTCTTTGGCTGCTAGGCTCGCATTATTTTCTGGAACGCACACTGGACCTTTGAAGTTGCAGCGAAAATCAGGATCGATGTTACTAATAGGCGTATAGCTAATGCTGGTTTGATCCAACTTTGCTATTAACTTCTCGAAAGCTCTTTTAGTGAACACTACGTAACATATAATAAGAATTACTAGGGCTAGCATTATGCTTATCAGGAGTATTATCGCGGCTATGATGATATTCATCTGGATTTTTGAATTAGCTGTATAATACACTTATTGTTGTGGCGTATACGTACAAGTGTAGTTTAAAATATTTTCAGGTTCGTACACCGTGAGAGTGAGAGATGGGAGGATAACATTGCTGTTTACGTATCTATTGGTTCCGGAGTCGAAACGTTTTTCTGCGTCTTCTATTGTGCATCTGAAGTCTGCTTTTATGATGCCATATCCAACTGATGGTGGGTGATATTTATTTTCTCCGCAGAGAATGATGATGTTGCGTTTATTGTCTGTTAAAAAGAGCTAATGAGACGGGTTGTATGTTCTAATAATGTAAGACGGCCTGCCGTTAAGTACTTGTACATTACACCTGTAGAGATCGATATTTTTAGGATTGCGGAATATTTCTATTTCGCAAGAGTTCGGTTTTATGTCACTTGATAGTGATTGGCATAAGTACATATCGATGAAAAGACATTTGCTTAGTTTTGATTGGTTAATAAAAGAGTATTCACGGTGACTATCTGTTAGCGCTAAGTAATCTATTGAGGGTATTATGCGAGCCGCGATCGTGTTATTGCGGCTATTTCTTTTTTGAAATACTGGCCATGATATGCATTTGTATAGTTTGAAAGTCATCATTTGTACGAGCGGAAATATTAATTATATTATGATTTCGCTGTCGATTACCTGAAATCGAAGTCGACTGTATTCATATAAAGATTGAGTATTTATTGCTTCGACTGGAATCGGCATTTCTTCTTAAGTAATGGTGTTTATAAAATAACTAACATACTATTTTAGCCTTACTGAAAATATAAACTTATTTTGCTGCATTCAGTTGGTAATTTTTTTCTATGAGATTTTTGAAGATAACAAAGATGTGATAGGTTTCAAGTACCAAGACGTCTGCTTGCGTTTGTGCCTTAGTAAGTGTGCTAGCGCTCTTTTTAAATTCAGTAAGTTTTGCCTGTATGGTGGTGATGGTTTGCTGTTGGGTGCTATACATATGTTTGAAAATTGTACGGTGTTAATAATCTATAGATCATAGAATTGAGGTTGCGTAGTTCTTGAATTTTGATTGCTAATTCTTCTATTGTGTAAGACAAGGTGTCATTGTGGATGTTTGTTTCCAGGAGAGGGGTATTAAGATTGGTTAAAATGTCGATAAGGTCATAACGAGCTTCTTTAACATGTTTAGTGTCTATGTGAGACACCATGGACCAAAATTCGCTTATTATCCTCATATCTTGTATTTGTTCAAAAGTGATTCCTGGGTTAAAGTTTGATTGATGAAATTCAGGTATTATCTTGGCATTTATCATTGTCATGATTGTAATTATAATATAACTGAAGAAGAATATTTCTGATATCTGAAAACGAATTAAAGATATTTTAAGTGAGAAAGGGATAATTATCTTTCCTTTTTTTTTATTATATAGTAAAACCTAAGTATTGCTGCAGCTTTAGGTTCTTAAGATCTCTAAAGTGATTGTCGACTCGCTTGGCATGTTGGCGGCATTTTTTGAGAGTTGCGTAGTACGCGGGTGAGCACATGTAGCGACCTACTTGGGCTTTAAGCCCTTTAATGAAAAAAACTGTTGCTAGTTTTTCACGCTCCTGGGGTGTTCATGTTATTTCTGGGTAGTTCTGTTGCGCTATTTTACCAGCTCTGATATATAACTTATAACGGTACCCCACCGCTAGGCTACATCGGTAGGCTAGGTCAAGTAGGGAGGTAGGGAAAAGAGGGAAAAGCGTTAAAGGGACTAGGTAAGAAAGAAGTAAAGGAAAGGAGGGGAAAGTGAGAAAAAGCCGGGAGCAGCAGATTAGCTTGGGACATTGAAACGCTCGAAGCTAGATTTTTGATTATTACGCGAGAGGTATTTTGTTTTATTTTCTGCGCGAGAAGCGTTTTCCGTTGTTGTGGTGAGGGTTGACGGTCCTCGGCGTTTTTTCTGGACGCGACGTCCTGGTGGAGTGCTGGTGTTGTGCACCTGGTTCTCGTGAACGTGTCAGGAGAGAAGCCGACGAGCTGAAGGTCAGCGAGGTTACGAGCCACGAACAGCGGCGCTACTTCTTGGTCAGCAGGGACGCCTGCTGACTCGAGCTGGTGCTCCTTGACCACGCCACACCACTCCAAGAGAAAGGCCCAGCGGTAGCGGAAGCGTATCAGCGCCCGGAAGTACCTGCCAGCAGGCAAATTATTGTAAAGGGCAGTGGCCCTCGAATAGCCCGCGTAGGTCCAACCGGTTCGCGAGTTTGCACCTTGAGCTCGTCAAATATTCGCGCTCGACGAGCGTACACACACGCATATACGCATACACCCGCGAAGATAGTATATTTTTTATTTCTTTTTATATTATTTTGAATGCAAATTTTATTTTAATATAATACTCGCGAGTGCTTACTCTTCTCTGTGTGGGTCCTGTCCCCTCTGCATTGTGTTAAAGTCGTCGCGAGAGGCAAGGACGTCCAAGGTCGTCACGATACTTGACGCCAGCGGTGTCTTGGAGAGCGTGACCCACGTACATCCCTTACAGAAAGTGTCGCCGAGGATACCCGGGCAACACAGGCTTGGTCGAGGTTGCGAATTTTGCCTCGTTAAATCCGCATCGGTAACACCCCGTAACAAACTGTAGTACACGATCATTTCTGTGAGAGTAATTAGTCGTTGATTCATTTCTATGTTGTTCTGTCCAAACTGTTGAGTCATTGATATCGATTAAATGGTTGAAAAAATTTCGTTTTTGGAGAGAGTTAAGAGATTTATTTATTTCTTGATCCATGTTAAAAAGGGTTGTTGAGTTGATCATCCGTAAATGCTGTGTCGAGCGTAATCATAATTAATTGTGTCTAGAGTAAATTTAATGGTCTGAAAAATCATTATTATAGTGATAAAAGCAGCACTTGCTGAGTTGAAAGAGAGGAATTTTTGCCACATTTTATTCCAAGTATTTTCCGCGAGTGTTTGTAAAGTATTTTCGTCAAAGATGTGTAAGAGTGAAATTTATTGTGCAAGTCTTGTTTTTCCTGATATACTTGTGGCGTCCCAGCCTTGCGCACAAGCAGCGCGTTTGAGGCGCAAACAGACGCTTGTCCCGCGCGCTGTGTTTTAACCGCGAGCTCTGCTGATTTCGTCCAATCAGCGAGCCTCGCGCCCCTCTCGAGCCTACCAATCCA